GCATTATTACCAGGAATTGACAAATGGACAGGAACTAAAAGTAACAAAATCCTGGATTTAAGCATACACTTGTTAACATGCTCTAATAAACTGAATTGATCATATTAGCAGAGGGAGCAATACAAATTTACCTTTGCTGACAGACTATGTCTGTTGTTAAATAATTCTAAACATAATCTAGGGGACTGTAGAAGAGAGAGACTTACTATTAATGTACAGTGTGGTCTTTATTTACCATAAGCAACTTTTGCCATATGCAGCAGTTCTCTAAATGGTGCTTGGCTTCATAACTGTTAAAATTATGTAAATATAAATGTATATAGTGCTTTAAAAACAGGTTAAAGATATTTCCCTAAAGCAGAGCCAGTGTGGGATTCAGAACTATACCTAGAACACAAACACTTGAATCCCAAGACAGGCAAATTTTATTTTGTTTAAAGAAAAAAGACATTTCTAGTCATCATGGTTGCAAAGAAAAATTTGAAATGTGAACTAAATATAACCAATATGCTGACTCAGCAGACACCTGAACCAGTAGCTTCAAGAGGTGAAAATTACGCCAGCTTCTGCAACAGAATCCTAACTCCAATGGGGCCTGTGTAAGGTGACTATATGGGACGATGTGAAATCCAGGACGCTGCCTGCCTGCCCCTTCCCCTCCCCTGCCCCCACTGCTGCAGGAAGTTAATGGCCTGTTAATGATTGGTGCATCCTGCACCTGCGCTACTCATTTTAATTTTCACCAGCTGGCCAGGACCAGCCTCCGAAATCTAGGACTGTCCTGGCGAGTCCAGAACACATGGTCACCTTAGGCCTGTGTGATGCCCTTGCCACTACTGATAGGGGAGCAGGGCTACAAGGGCCCTGCGTCATCATGTGCATGGATCATTTCAGGTGCAGCTTGAGCCTATACAGACTTCCACTGTTTTCACTAGGGCTCTACTCAGGTGCAGAGATCCATCCAAGGGATTATAGCTACAGAGTTTACTCCTTTATGAGACAAAAGAAATGCTGGACAACAGTTCATTTATGGTACAGTGCAGAGTCAAAACTAACATGGATTTTACAGACCTCAGCAGATTAAATGATTTATAAAAGAGTTCAGTGATACCTTTAATACTTTATTGTTGACAAAACAAAAACAATATCTTAAAGCAAGGGTGGCTAATCTGTGGAAACACATGCCACAAGTGACAGGGGCAGTTTCCATGTATGTGGCAGATCAGGGAAGGGACAGGCAGCACAGTGTTCAGGCAAGAAGCAGAAAACAGAGCAGCAGATCCGGCAGGGGAAGGGAATATTAGTGATGCTTGGGGAGGGTGCAGAGCTAATTTGTGGCATGCCTGCCAAAAATGTTGGCCTCCACTGCCTTAAGGCCATGTTGTATCACAAAATGCTGTATGACAAGCAAAGCAAATTTCTTAGCTGCCTTCACTGAAACGTCCAAATCTGATCCAAAGGGTCTGACCAGGGTCATAACTGCTTTCTCAGTCCTGAGTGCCAACAAAACTGAGCAACAAAGGCTGAAAATAGCTGTCATCCAGCTGTATCAAAAAGATCATATACATTCAGAAGGCTTGTCAGACAGCATAAATTCACTCTGCCTACCTCAGCCAACCAACTACCATCTACTTTCCCTAAATCTGGTACATTTGCTCAGCAAGAAGTCCTGAAAATCCTGAAGTCACAACTCAAGATTTGTTAATTTGATCCATGTCCTACCCAGCCTATGAAAAAGAATCAAACAACTTGTACCACTTTTGTCCAAAATGTGTAGCACATTATTCAGGGAAGCAATCTTTCCTTCTAAGTGAAGACCACTATCAAAATAATCCGACGGCTCATGGATGGGTCTTGAGATGACTTAAGCGTCCAATCTTTGAGCCATTTAAAACAGAAGCCACAGCAATCAGATGGCCAACTCCACCATGCTACACAGCTGTTTGCCACGGGTAGATGTGCCTTCAGCAAATTCACAAACTTTCATCTTCACAGTCAGGTTCTGCTGTCTTGACCAGAGGATGCTACTGTTTCACCAAAGAGTTGAAACATATGTAGAAATCCAGGGTAATGGATTAAAAAGTCTGAGTCCTTTCTGGAATCTTAAAGTGATAAGAAATGACGCTTTTACCACAAGAACCATCCATTTGCAAAGTTCTACTGAAATTAATTTTGCATCTTGCCTATTGCATCTGTTTGGACAAGATCAGCTCATGGCTGATGCACTCTTGTCTAAAAGTGAACCCAAATAAGACAGAGATCATGGTAGCTGGCAGAGAAAAACATTTTGAAGAGTCTGCCATTATAGAACAGTCTCCTCTAGTTGAAAAAATGCAATCACAATTGGTTAACTTAGTCCATAGTCTAATATTTTTGGATTCCTTGATGATGCAAAGCAGCATTCAGAGTAATGCTCAATTATCTACACCTTTGTTACCTCCTGGCTGGACTAATATTTTGATGCATCTGAGCAAGATGCTTTCAATATTTAATGAAACTCCATTCTAATATTATAGAAGCCTAAGTCTGTCTGTCCATCTGTAACACTTTATTCATACTCTGATTGGCTGACAAATAGCCAGTCAGTGCGCAAAGAAGCATTCAGACAGATGGCAGCCCACCACCATGATGGGGGCACAGGGAACAGAGCAGGGGAGGCAGCTGGCCTTGCCCCTCCCCCGCTCCCTGGAGGCAGCGGCAATGGAGTGGATGGAACAGGGGGGCACTGGCCTCGCCCCCCCACCCTGCTCTCTGCAGGTGGCGATGATGGAGTGGGGAGGGGAGGAGGGCAAGGCCACCAGAGCTGGCCTCACCTCTGCCCTTGCTCCTTGGAGGTAACAGCAGTGGGGGCACAGTGGGGGAGTGGGGTTGGGACACTGCAGGGGACCAAGGCCACTGGCGCTGGCCTTGGACTGCCCCTCCCCCCTTCCGTCATCGCTGCCTGCAGGGCTGGCTGCAGCAGCAGGGAAGAGAAGGGAGGAGAGGGCCTGCGCATGCTCCTGCCCTCCCCCTGCTGCTGTGGTGGGGAACAGGGGAGCAGTCCCAGACCCCAAGAGGAAGGGGGGGAGTGGGTGTGGGTCCAGCACAGGGGGGG